CCTTCTGTCCCGGACTGAGCCCAATTAAATACATTTGTGTGCCCTTGATTCAAATTTATCTTTGTGGGGCTTTGTATTGGTAACATAACATAGACATCCAAAAGTTTTGATGAATGACAAATCAGGTGTTTTTCTATATTGAATTTCAAAAGGGGTATTCCATTTTAGGATAGCACTTGGAATCCTATTTATGATATATGTTGACATAAGAATGGAATATGACCAAAAATCTGTAGGAAGATTGGCTTAAAGAATAAGTGATCTGGCCATATTCAAGAGGTGCCTATGTTTTCTTTCAACCACTCCATTTTGCAGTGGAGTGTAAACACATGATTTTTGATGTAAAATACCTAAGGCTCGAAGTAAATTTTGACACTCACGGCCAGTGAACTCACTTCCATTCTCAGTTCTTATGGATTTAACAGTTTTTTCAAATTCATTTCTGACCATTTTAAAAAAGGACTCAAGAGTCTGAACAGTCTGGGATTTTTGGATCATCAAGAATGTCCATGTGGCTCTAGAATAATCATCCACTATGGTGAGCATATAGGGAATTCCTATTGGTGTATGATGTTTATAAGGACCCCAAATGTCAATATGTAGCAAATCAAAAATGGATTTTGTGTGAATCTGGGAATTCTGGAAAGGTAATCTGCTTTGTTTAGCTTTGTGGCAAGTATCACATGGTTGCAAGCATTTTATAATTGAAGCACCACAAAATGGATTAAGAAAATCAAGATGTTGCAAGCACCGGTAAGAAGCATGTCCCAATCGATTATGCCAATCAATGATAGAAATAGAAGGAGTTTTATTAACATGAAAAACACTATCAGCAGACTGAAAATTCTCAACTGAGCAATTATTACAGACATCAACTCCTCTATTACAATGTTCAACATGTAAGGTCTGAAAACTAAAATCATCTAATGTATATAAGTTCCCATTCAGTTTTCCAGTTTGCTAGGATTCTTTCATTTTTCAGGTCCTGTAGAGAGCAATGAGTTGGATAAAAGGTGAACTTAACATTTTCAGTTTGAGTCAATTTTGGAACAGATAAAAGGTTGAATTTGAATGTGGGAATGTGTAAAACATTGGTTAAAAGGAGTTTTCAATTTATGGTGATGGATCCAATATTTTTAACATGTTTCACTGATCCATCAGGCAAACAGACAGCAGTAGGTTGTGTAACTGGTTTAATATCTGTCATTTGGTTTATGTTTATGCATATATGATTACTAGCACCAGTATCAATTATCCAAGTACTACATCCTAAATTATCAAGTGAAGTAAAGGCCAAATGTTGGATACACATACCAGAATACTCGTTGAGATGTGCAAAGTTAACTTGACGCTATTATCAACCAGTAACTTTCCTTTGAGCATTCTCTTCAGTTCCTGTTGCACTATGTTTGTGATACTTCCAGATGATGCATCACCCTTTTGATTCATAACAGACGTCCTTTCATCAAAATCAAGTGGTGAGTCACTCATATTTATCACATTATTCACCACATTTCTTC